GGTGCATTATGCTTTGTCTGCATTAGAAATGAGTGAACAAAATGAATGGATTATAGATACAGGTGCCAGCAAGCACATTTGCAAAGATAAAAGGGAAATGAGAAATATAAAACAGTTGAGACATCCTGTGGAAGTATGCTTACCAGATGGAACACTGAAGAAAGTGAGATATAAGGGGGAAGTGTTGCTTGATGGAGGTGTAATCCTGCAAGAGGTATTACTCATACCAACTTTTAAATACAACCTACTTTCAGTTATGCAAATGTGCACTGGGAAGGAGCTGAGGTGGATATTCAATGGGCTGAACTGTTATCTGGAGAATGAGAAGACATGCTACATACATGGTTATGGTAGAATGTCCAAAGGTCTCTATGTATTTGACAAGAAGAGAGCAGAGGATGCAGATGTGATATCTTGTAATCTGTCAGTTGAGACATGGCATAAATGCCTTGGTCATGCATCTTTCTCAGCCTTACAGCATATTGGTCTACTGAAAAACAGTTGCAACACAGAAGTGGAGAAAATTTTGAAGTCCTGTGATATATGCTTCAAATCTAAACAGCACAGACTTTCCTTTCCCAGAAGCAATATACAAACCAAAGGAAGCTTTGAATTATTACATGTGGATATATGGGGTCCATGCAGAGAAGAGTCACTGTTACAAACCCCATATTTTCTGACCATTGTAGATGATTATACCAGAGGTTCTTGGGTTTTCCTGATGCAGCACAAGTCTCAGGCAGGTAAAATGATAAAGAACTTTGTCTGTATGGCAAAGACTCAGTTCAAATGCAAAGTGCAGAAAATAAGAACAGACAATGGGAGAGAGTTTATTGATAAACACCTACAGGAGTTTCTTGAGTCAAAAGGAATATTGCATGAGACTAGTTGTGCTTACTCACCACAGCAAAATGGGGTTGTAGAGAGGAAGCACAGGCATCTCCTTGAAGTGGGAAGAGCACTCTTATTTCAAGGGAATCTACCCTTGAAGTTCTGGCCATTTGCAGTGCTAGCAGCAGCTTACATAATAAATAGAGTTCCTTCTCAGTTGTTAAATTGGAAGACACCTTATGAGAGACTTTATGGAGAAGCCCCAAATTATGGAAGGTTAAAGCCATTTGGATGCCTAGCATATGCTGCAAACATACACCCTATGAAGTCAAAGTTTGATGCAAGAGGAAACAAATGTGTATTTTTAGGGTATGCAGCAGGAAAAAAGGGATATCAGTTGTTTGATATGGAGTCTCAATCCTTACTTATCAGCAGGGATGTGGTTTTCATTGAAGATACTTATCCATTTGCTACTCACATTGCACATGAAGGACACACACTGCCACAAAGCTTTGAGGACAATGAAGATAATGATGGTTCTCAACCAGCACAAGCAGATTCCACTCCTACAGCTGCTGACACATAAGAAGATAATCAAGGAAGAAAAGGGAGGAATAGAAGACCACCTGCTTGGCACAATGACTACATATGTGGGAGTGTCACCCAATCAGACTTCATGGCTTTTATGTCCAATATAGCCATTGATAAAGAACCTACACACTATGCTGATGCAAAGAAACATCCAGCTTG